GAGGTACAAATGTCAAATATGTGGAGAAAAGAAAAGAAATGCTATGATTTTAGAATGGAATCGAGGCATCATTAGTTAGTTCTTGCCACAGAAAGGACCTAGAAGCAATTAAATCTCTACAAGGAACACACCTAGTATCCAGATTTCAGTTTCTGAATCCATTCTCCACTACACAAGAGAAATGAACTGATTACAGGGCAGAGAGAGGCTAGGTAAAAAGGAAGATCTTATACCAGAGAGTAAAGAGGTGTTCAAAAACTGGTGGGTACTATCAAAAGGACACAAGATCCCTTGACACAGGAGCTTCAAAGAGCTTTCACGGCCAAATATAGTATCATTTAAATCTTAAAATGAATCATGATAGGAATATATTATAACACTGAGTAAACAAAATCATTCATGAACCCATGCTGATACTAGAAATTTATTTTTTAAAAGATGAGGCAAAGGAGAAAGAAGGGGAAGCTCTTTCTTAGAGTAGGCTGCCAACTAACAAGTGTAGAAGCAACGATAGCAACAGATTCCTTTACAGCCAGAAAAGAAAAAAAGAAATCACCAATGGATGATAAAATATTGGGTAAACAACTGTTGGGAAGCAAAATGTGGAGAAATCTGACAGAAACCCACCGTAACCAATTGACCAAACTTAATATTACTAACAGTAAGGCCAGCTGTGTCACACACATCCCTATTATACCACACTGATAAGGACAGAACATTACCTATCTGTGTAGTACTCCTGCCAAAAATATATACCTAGAGCTAATCATGAAAGGGAAAAGCATCAGACAAATCCAAATAGAAGGATATCTATAAAACAACTGAGATGGATTTTAAAACACACACACACACACACACACACAGAGAGAGAGAGAGAGAGAGAGAGAAACAGAAAGAGAATGCCATGAAAAACTTTTAAAAAAGAATAACAAATGAAAAGGGGCTGGGGACCTGTCCCACATTACAGGAGACTAAAAGTAAATGAAATGTAGTTCATGACCTTTGGTTGGATCCTGGGTAGCAGGGATATTGATAAAAATCCTTAATGGGACAATTAGGGAAATCTCAATATGGACTATATATTAGATGATAATATTATGTCAATATTAAAATGTTAGAGTGGATAGTTCTATCATTGTGAGAAAAATGTTCCTGATAGTCAACTCTCATATAGTTCATAAAACTACATATATGTATATATATTTATGAATTTTATGTATATCTAAATATGCATTTATGTAGAGACATATTTATTTAGAGAGAATGGGGTAAAATGTTAATAACTGGCAAAACTAATTGGTGCTTACTATACTTGCAAATTTTCAGTAGATTTAAATTTTTCAAAATATAACTTCTATTAAAAAATTTAACTGAAAAATAATTAAACTGAAAGATTTATCCATTTAAAAAACAAAGTTTATTATTTGAAAAAATCCAACTATGTGCAGTTAAGAGCCACTTTTAAGCCTAAGGATGCTCAAAGATTGACACTAAACATGATTTTTTAAAAAGAATGCTGAAGTGGCTCTATCAATGTCAAATGAGAGATTTTTAAACAAAAAGCATCACCAGAGAAAGAGGATCATCTCAATGATTTTTCAAAAAGTTCAAATCACCAAGAAGATGTAAAAAGCTCTATAATTATATATGTTTAATAAAATGTTTGCTTTTCAATAAAGCAAAATGAACACAACTACATGAACAAATAGAAAAACCTACATTCATAATGAGAGATTTCAGCCTAAATCTCAGTTAATGATAGACCAAGCAGCCAAAGTAGCATTCAGAGGAGAGGAGGAAAATCCAGACATGCAAGGACCTTAAGTTTAACATTCATGGATATTTTCTGAAATACTGTTATAGGGTGTTTTCTTGCTAAAGAAAAAATAATGAATACAAAAGGAATACATGGAATATAAAAACAATGGCAATCTAGAAGGCAGTAAAAATTCTCTAAAAATTCTTTATTACAGAAAAAAACCCAGAACTAATATCTGAGATTATCTTAATTTGAGAGGTGGATGAAATACTGGAAGAAAACATGCAAACATTTTATGCAAGAAGAAGCTATACATTCTGATTAGAAGATAGAAAAATGTTAAATAGATGTCAAAAATTTAAGGTTAACTACTAGAAAAAAAGTCATATATTGTTTCTGAACCCCTAGAGTGAAAAACAGGAACAAGAATAAAAGCAAACAAAAAACTGATCAAAGACAAAAAGAAACAAAACAAACAGGAAAACAAACAAGGTAAAATACGGCATGTCAATCTAACACACAGTGCCTATAACAGATGGTTTATGTGAGGGGAAGTAAAGATATGGACTATTTATAAGAGATACCCCTAAAATGAAATACTACCTAAAAGTTGAAAATAGATTGATGAAAAAAAAAAATTCTACCTAGAAGATAAGCATAATAATATTAATAGTTGCTTGAACTCTATGTTGTCTGTTATCACCAAAGGAAAAAAGAAGGAATTTTTAAAACTTATAATCCACAAAAATCATAACAGTCACAAAGAATTGTGCTTTTTCTCCAGGACTTCAAAGAATATAAAGCAAAAAGCCTTGTAAAAATACAAGGTGGAGAAAATCCAGAACCACAATAGGTAACACCCTTAGAATCCATTCCCATACTTACTCTCCAGGTTTCTCCTGATAGGTGTATTAGCAAAGTCCTGCAATTTGCTTAGTGTCTGAGTTATCTCCCTGCCCAAGCCTAGTATTTATCTGTCCTTGGAGCATGCTGAGAATTGACCTTAGTTATAGGGCTAATGGAACAAGGGATGGTCGTGGTGGGTCTTGAGAAGAACAAACATCCCCTTTCAAGGCATCTGCCCCAAATGAGGTTATAAAGGTTTTCAAGCTAAAGAAGTCTATTCAGACAATGAAGGCCAAGGACTTTCACTGGCCAAGGAAGCTCAGCATGACTTGGGGTTTCAGGATTGTCAGTTTTATCTGAATCCAATCAGATATTCCAAGTTTCAGAATCCCATTCTTTCCCAGTCAATGCCGTAAATTTTAACACAAGAAATTTTGCAACACTGTGAATTTAACTATCCTAATTCCACAACCCATGCAATTAAATTTTATGTCTTATTTTCAGAAGTAGCAGCTCTGTGGTAATAAGAAACAGCAATTCTTTTAGGGCTAAGATAGAAGCTCTCTGGTTCTCAGACTGTCACTTGAGCTGAAAGACGTTAGAGGACCTGATTCCATCACTTTCTCTGTGTAAATACTCTAGTAAAGTCAGGAAAATCCACTCCACATCACAGCCCATGTAGTCATCACTACTGCTGGAACAGTCAGGTCAAGCAATTGCTTGGGATTCCAAGGAATCTGCTTCCTTTGACATTTTCATCACAATTAAACACAAGGACACAAGGGCTTAATTGTGATGCCACAGCATGCAATAGATTATTCACATGTCATTTCCAATTGGCAAGTAGCTGAGCATTGCACTTAGGCCCAAACAAAGCCCTCAAAAACCGTGTATGTACGTGTGCGTGCACGCTCGCTTTCAGGAGGAGCAGGAGGGATCTCCAGATACCAATTCTGTATCAGTCAGGGTCTAGGCAGGAGATGGAAACTAAGTAATTTGAACAGAGACACTGTAACATGAAGATATATGTATAGGGAGTATATGTTAATACATAAAAGATGTCCCAGGGCTGAAGAGGAGCAGCTGAGGGAGGAAGGAACTTGGAAGGGCAGACCCTTCACAAGGCTGGGCTGCAGCCCACTGGATGGTGGGCTGGAGCTGATCCAAACTCTGGGGGCTGAGGCTGGTTGGTGATCAGGAAACCTCACACTAGGTGCCACAGGCCGAGCACACGGGCTGAGGACTAGTGCTAAAACTTGCTAAAGGGTAAGTGCCACCTGGTGTCCTGCAATGTATGCTACTGCAAAGCAAGGAGCAAGCCGAAATAGGTGCACACTGAAAACAGAAAGAGAGGTCCCTTCCTCCTGCGACATCCCTCCAGCACCCTCTACTGACAAAGTTTAACACTGTGTGAGATGGCAAGGGAGAAATTTTTCCAGGGCCTAGCTCCATCATCCAGGTAATGAAGGGTGGATATGGAGTCAACTGGTAACTGTTTAACTGTTGCACTTTTCAGTGGTTAAACAATTGTTTAACCATTACACTTTCCCTTCAACCAGCTCCACAGCTGTTCAGGGCTCTGTGCCTGGAAGAGTAACCCAACCCTCGTTCTCAATGGGGCTGAACTCCATGAAGTGCTGCCTGAGGAGTGTTGCTAGAGCTGTCTCTTAACCTTTATTATGGGGCACATTAGTCCAGGGATGGAACCCAGGGTAAGCCTTGATATCTTCCATCCTGTTTTTCTGAATCTTTTTTGGGCAACAGTGACTTTTACTTGCCCTTGGTAGTTTCATGGAATACTCCAGCCAACACTGGTTTTTGTTGTTCATGTTTGCCTACTTACCTAGTAGTAATTCCTGAAGCCATAAACGGCCAGGTGGTGCTTTTAATATCCAAATTCAACAGAAGTATCACTGTACCTCCTGGTGGAAGTGTATGTCCTTTGGGCACTAAAGCCTCTAAGCCAGCAGAGCCCAGATTCATGGGGACAAGAAACATTTTGTAAGTTATTATGTAACCATTAAGAGTGGAGGCAAGGTGACAAAGGAGGAAGCTGAGGGATCTAGAGGTAAAATAATATACACAGCTTGCACAATTATAAACAGCTGAACTGGAGTTTAAAACTAGGTTTGACTCCAAAGTCCATGTTATTTCCAATACATGTTGTTTCTGACTCTCTGCCAAGCTACTACGAAGTAATGGTAATTAATTAACACAATTTCATACCCCAAACATCCAGTACTGTCTCTCAACGTCTAAGAGGCCCACCTACATGTCACACACACAACACTGATGGTTGTGCTTAGCTTCCTGCAGCATTCCCTGCCCATTTGTGTGTTTATCATCCAAAAAGCAGCACCATATACCCAAGGATGTCAAAATCGAGTGTACTTACCTTATCCCAGAGCTGAGACTTTTCCAAGCTTGAAAATACTGTAGCAAGGACTAGTTCACAGGTCCAGAACGTTGGCAGTTGTCCGACCACACACTTCCAACCATGTGGGCAGTGGACCCTGCACTAGTCTGGCTTAAGTGTGGTTAGGCAGAAGGAAGGCACAGCTGGTAATGAGAAGGGGCAATCAGGCATCTGATGGAGGAACGAGCTGACCTCTAAAGACCCCTCCAGTCTCAGGCATAGCAGTTTGTTCAGTAAAGCAGCAGCAGCTGTGGAGGAGCTCAGCCCTTATAGAGGGTTAAAGGTCATCAATGCCCCTTCTTCACAATCTTGGGATATCTCTCTTTTACAGTGATCTCTACCCCCATGGAAACACATGGCTGGGGTTTGGGGAAAACATTAACTGTGCACCTGATAGCAATAATTTAAGCATACCCTTAGAATGACCCTGTATGGCAGATGCACCTGAATGTGTGTTTCGAGCTAGGGAATCCAGGCGCCCAACCCAGAGATTTGTTCCTTGCCTATGGTAAGACCATTAACGTTTAACTACGGTAAATACAGAGTCCTTCTTTTTATTTTTTATTAAGAGGCAGCTGGCCATAATTTAATAGGGAAAGAAATGGCCATGATGTAATTATTCTCCTTGAAGACGAAACTTCATAATAACATTACTTTCATTTGTACAGGTCATCGCCAAGACCAGGCTCCTACGTGGGTTTCAGAGACATGATTGAATTTGTGTAGCTATAAGTGCTCGCACAGGGTCAAGTATTACTCATATACTCATTCCATTTTCCCAATGAGTCAAGTGCAGTATAGAGGCAGAACGCACCTTGGGAAATGCGAAATGAGAAGAAGTGCCTTCAGCTGCTGCCCCATGACAAGGTGCCTCCCATTCCTCCACCCCTCCATCCAAGCTTCCTAAGCCAAGGTCTTATTCGGCTCTGCTTAGGACTGTCTGAAACCCCTATTTCCTGCTCCTCATGCTCTCGGAGTCCAGGTGTCAAATGGCGAATCTGTTTCGCAATCACTGCACATACAAGGAGGCAAATAGGTAGCTTCCCATTATTTAAATCTTTGGAGATAAGACACTAACTTCTTCTACCGGGGCAGTAGTTTCACAGTGTTTGTATTTATTAAACAAGCATGAATAGAATATGCTGGTCATCATGTGGCAGGCACTGTTGTAACCACTCCACAAATATTCACTCATTAAGCCTCATAAAAGTCAACAGGAAATATGTTCTATTATGAGCCCCATTTTATAGACAAGGAAGCTGAGGCACAGAGAGGGTAAGGAACTCACCTAAGGTTACACAGCTAGTAAGCTTAAGGCCAGTTTCAAAGGTTCAATAGTTTCACCTATATGCTATAGGGTTAATGCACCTGATAGTAATAATTTAAGCATACCCTTAGAATGACCCTGTATGGCAGATGCCACCTGAATTCGTATTTTGAGCTAGGGAATCCAGGCATGCCCAACCCAGAGATTTGTTATTTGCCTATGGTAAATATCTGAGCCCTGGGTCCATCCCATGGAACATGGGCTGTACAGGGCATTGAGGCCCTTAGTTTTGGGTTAAAAGAAGGTGGCTAGGTAGAGGTTGTTGAGGAGAGGGTGTTAAGTGAAAATGCTACATAAACAGCAGGTTTGCAGGTGGTAGCAGTTCTCCTGGCCAGCCCACTGCCACTGGACTCTCTCCCCCGTACATAAGCACCTAATAAAACCCCATGTCTCATTTGTTGGTGCTGGGGTTCTTCTTTCACCTCTTAAATCTGGTGCCTTCTCTTATTAAGGTTAGTGGGGTTTCGACACAATGTACCCACAAATACAAGTTTGGCTTTTACCATTCTAAATCCTCGGAACAGCAAGCCTACTCTCCACTTAAAATTAGAGGAGAGGTCCCTATTGCAGTCTCAAGAGATATGAAAGAGATGTTTGGGCAGAACCCAAATAAGGATGTATCATTTCCTTAGAAGCTAAGCCTGTCTTAGGCCTTTCTGTTCTGTTTGTTCCAAACAAGCAGTGACAGCAATCTCAAACTTCCCCCGTCATCTGAAGTCAGCCAGTATGCCATGTCACCATCTCTCCTTGCTTGCCAGTAATAACCAACGTGGAACTGACAATACCTAAGACTGTTACCTTTCCAATTTAACACAAACGAGAAACCTGTCCCTGCTGGGGACTGGCAAATACAGTCCATGGGATGAGACTGGTAAGATCTGTAGGGTCAGGGAGAATGCATCTGCCCTGGTCCCTCAGTCAGAGCCCCAGTCCCCGGCTCCTTTCCTCTGTGTGTTCTGCAGCCACAGTCCAGGCAGCTGTGGGGGCAGCAGAGCCCAGTGATAAGAACGGAGGGAAATTCAGGGACACTGACCCTCAGCTGAGACCTCCACAAGCTGATGTAACAGACCTGTCTTCACCAAAATGTTTAACACTCCTGGAAGGATGAAAAAGTGTACTTTTAGCAAATCACAACTGTTCACCTCTTAAGTGACAAGTAATTTGAATTGCTTCAGTTCTGGTTTTTTAATGTAGTCAAATTTATTAATTATGTCTCTGAATTTTCAGTTATATTTAGAAAGGCTTTATGTACATCAAAGTTAGTGAGGAAATCACCCATTGCTTACATGCTATCACTGTTTACATTTAAATTTCGAACTCATTTGGAGATTTTTCTTGCCTGTGGTGTGAAATATGGGTCTGATTTTATTTTATTTTCCTTTTATTTTTAGTCGGCATGTAATAATTGTGCCTATTTATGGGATACAGAGTGATTTTCCATACATGTATACAATGTATAATAATGAAATCAGGGTAGTTAGTACATTCATCACCTGGAACATTTATCATTTTTTGTGTGCTATGAACATTCAAAATCCTGTCTTCTAGCTTTCTGAAAATATACACTAAATTGTTGCTAGCTATATTCACCCACAGTGCTACAAAATGCTGGAACTTGTTCTCCCATCAGCTGTCACTTTGTATCTGTCAACCAGTCTCTCTTCCCCTCCCCTCCCTACCAGCCTTCCTAGTCTCTAATAACCACAGTTCTACACTTTACCTCTATGAGCTCAATGGTTTTCTTAGCGCTACATATGAATGGGAACATTTGGTATTTTTCTGTGCCTGACTAATTTCACTTAAAATAAGGTCCTCCAGGCTCATTCATGTTGCCACGAATGACAGGATTTCATTCTTTTTTGAGACTGAGTAGTATACCACTTTTTCTGTATATACCACATTTTCTTTATCAATTCTTCCACTGATGGACATAGGTTGCCTCCATATTTCTGCTATTGTGAATAGAGCTGCAATAAACATGGGGGTGCAGGTATCTCTTTCATACCCTGATTTACTTTCCTTTGGATAAACACCCAGTATTCATTTCTGTTGTTTTGTTTTGTTTTGTTTTGAGATGGAGTCTCGCTCTGTCACCCAGGCTGGAGTGCAGTGGCACGATCTCGGCTCACTGCAACCTCCGCCTCCTGGGTTCAAGCGATTCTCCTGCCTCAGCCTCCCAACTGCGTGGAATTACAGGCACCCGCCACCATGCATGGCTAATTTTTGTATTTTTAGTAGAAACGGGGTTTCGCCATTTTAGCCAGGCTGGTCTCAAACTCCTGATCTCGTGATCCACCTGCCTCGGCCTCCCACAGTGCTGGGATTACAGGCATGAGCCACCATACCTGGCCTCATTTCTGTTTTTGACAGACCAAAAAAGGGAAAGTGCTCCTTTGTGATCTGGAGGGGATGGAATACGTTCTTATACCTGAAGCTAACCCTGGTGCTAAATGACTCTAGAGTCGGTGAATAAATATACTAGACCTTCAGTGAATAATAACAGAAATTCACGTCAGGTACTTCCTTCAGGGCCTGCAGGATATTTTAGGGGCAGACAGGATTCTTGAAACTTCTTATACTATGCCAGGCAAAGCACATCGGCTCTACTGCTTATATTCCTAGAAAAGAAATACCTGCCATCGCCTACTCTGCCCACATCCCCTTCTGAGAGAAACAGCTCTAAACAGCCCTATAGGATAGGGTACCATAGGATTGTATCCCATCCTCTCCATCTACAGCACTTGTGAACATGTGGCCAGAGGGCAGGCAGTCCATCCAGACTTCTGGTCTGGCTCAAAAAGATGAACTTTGTATGGCCAGACGCGGTGGCTCACACCTGTAATCCCAGCACTTTGGGAAGCCGAGGCAGGTGGATCATGAGGTCAGGAGTTCAAGAGCAGCCTGGCCAACATGGTGAAACCCCGTCTCCACTAAAATTACAAAAAAAAAAAAAAAATTAGCTGGGCATGGTGGCGCATGCCTGTAATTCCAGCTACTCAGGAGGCTGAGGCAGGAGAATTGCTTGAACTGGGACCCGGGAGGCAGAGGTAGCAGTGAGCCAAGATCACGCCACTGCACTCCAGCCTGGGCTACAGAGCAAGACACTGTCTCAAAAAAACAAAAAAATGAACTTTGTAAATCATATTTTTTTTCTTGAGAATTGGAAAACTGAAAGCAGCTGGAATAGCTAGAAAGTCACGTGGGGCCACAGGGTCCAAAAGAAACTGAGCAGCTGAGAAGAGTGGGGCAGCAGAGAGAGGCAGATGGCTGCCCTGAGAGGTTCCTCAGTCCTGACTGTTCTCTTAGCTTCCAGTTCTAGTCCAGTGTGGCTTTGGTCCCTGTTCTTAGATGTCCATGACATTTCCTCTTGAATCCAGACACTAGGAGAGCACCACCGGAGGACAAGCATGGTGGCCCACCAAGTAACAGCAGAATGTGGAATAAAACTTTGACCTCCAAACCAAAACAGATGTGTCTGTCCTCAAAAGCAGGTGTGATCATGAAGACACTTACAACTAGGTGGCACAGGCCCCATTGGTCAGAATGGAGGTCTGCCCTGCCACAGGCCGCTAGTGAAAGTGCAGGCGCATCCTGGCTGCCTGCTCAAGTCAGGAACATCATGGCACTTGGAGGAAGGCCATTGAGAACAGCTTCATGACCATCTCTGAATGAGACAATGCTGCAAAAGTTCACCATAAATTATCAAGTGCGATACAATCTTCAAATTGCTCCCACCCAGGCTTGGCTCCTCAAACCTCACTCCTGGTGGATGATGCCTGAAAGGAATGGGACAGTGCCTTCTGAAAGACAAGGAAATGGCCCTGGTCTGCCACACAAACCAAATCCTTAGGTGGAACCAAAGTAGTCACTTCAAATTGTAGTTCTTTATATCCACCTGAGTTAGAATGGGCCAGGGTGTGGCCATCAGAGGGAGGTGGGAGCTCTCTGAAGCCTTGGAGGAGACTTTATAGGTCTTTGTAGATAAGGAAATGCAGTGCAGATCACCATGGTGAAAAGCACAGACATTCCCTTTTATGCCTTACTCCTTCCAGCAGGCCCTGTTGAGTGGTTATGCCCTGCCAGTGATGTCCACATGTCTTAGTTTGCACATTCGCAGTGAGGTTCATACAAACAGGTACCCACTGCATAATGTTAAGGTTGACATGTAGATTTTTCACCTTAAGCTTGAATAGCTACAAAGAATACGACTTCCAGTATATAGTAAACACCAACATTTTAAAATGAAACTGTTTCATTACTCTCTTAAATGTAAAACCTGGATAGTGAGACAGACCATGGGCGGGTGAAACAGAAGGAACATTAGGATGGAAATCCTTTTTAAGGAGCTGAGATCTAAATGGCCCATCATCATCCATGCAAAGTAGAAAAGGGAGGAACACTAGGCAGAGGGAAGAAGTGCAAAGGCCCTGAGGCAGAAACAACCTTGACTTGTTTGAAGAAGAGGAAAATGGCAGTGTGTCAGAAACATAGCAAATAGGGGATAGCCTAGTAGGAGAAAGGCTGTGAGGAACAGGCAGGGCTGGATCATGTGAAATCTGGAGGCCATCTGTGTCGACTGTTTTCCCTTTGCCTCTCCACATTCTGTATCCTTATGCCCACTCTGAGCCACAGGAGCTCAACCTGCATGGGCTATGTCAACAGACTCTGTTGACTGCTGACTTCTAGATGTGTTTAGCCCAGGGTGTGCTCCTGCAGGTCTGAGGAGGGAAGAGGGAAAGGCCAGGGTGTTTGTTCCCTTCCTTCTCTTCTTGTGGGCCTCTCTCTTTTCTGGTTACTGATTTCTTCCCATACCCCACACCCTTTCCTGCAGTCTAGTACTAGGGTTTTCCTAGACCCTCTCCACCTTGTGATTTTCCTGTACCCTCCCTACTGTGGTAAAATGTGCCTTTACTTAACTGTCTTCCAATTAGCCTAATTTGTATGTGTCTCCTAGGATCTGTTGGTACACCATGATGAGGTGTGTAATTTTGTTAGTAGTATTCTTAAGTCATTTGGTAATAATCTTTCATCCTGTGAAGCTGCAACATGGATTTTTTTAAACTCTTGTTTCCAAGTGCCTAATGCAGTGTTATAGGAAATGCTTAGTGACTGCATACACCATGCACAACAGAGCTAAGTGTACTTGAGAGACAACTGGTCCATTGAGAACAAAATGTATTTGGAGGCCATGAAGTTCAAGTTGAGAGCAGCATTCCCATGCACACCCCTCTCTGGGGAATGCAGCCAGTCCCTGCAAACCCCATTCCCCTCTCCAGGTTAAAAAGTTCCTCTTCATCCTGATGTTAGTTTGAAAAGTTTCAGCCATAACCATATTTAGTTATATTTGGGGAGAGGGGAGTGGTGGGTCAAAGGCTAAAAAAAAACCAAGAATGTATATATACTTAAGTAGCTAACAGTTTACTCCTAACATACTTGTCTGGGAAAGCCGCCATTGGCGATCACGTGACAACAAAACAAAACACCTTTTCTCTTCATTTGGGTGGAAAACTTGTTAGTATGATTAAATCTCAAACCAAGAACCATCATGTAAACTCATGGCTTAGTTGTCACACCGTGGAAGCCTTAAGTAGCTACAAAACTGCTGCTGATGGGAGACTAGTCCACACTCATCACTGCAAGTCACAATGTCTTATTGTTTTTTAAGTGGGTTTCCTTCAACAAGATAATATGAATTTATGATAAAATGAAATTCACAGACAGCCCAGAGGGGAAGCAGGAGGTAGGAGTGAATTGCCTGGTTAAAAACAGGAACATGTGCAGAGGAGAAAGTTTCCCTGCCCTTGGAAGCTGAGCCAGGTTCCCAGTACCCTGACCAGCTGCTCCCATTTGGAAAACCCCTGGCACAAGATACCATGCCAGACATTTTGCACACGCCTCCTGAGAAAGCCAGAGAAGGCTAAGAAGTATATGCACCCATGAAAATAAGAAGCAAAAAGGAAAGGGTGTAGAAGTTGGTTAAAAATAAAACTTATCAGATGAGAATTAGGTCCTGAGAATGTTATCTCTCCCCACAGGAGGGTGGAAAAAAAAATAGGCATGTCAAGGAGAACACAGGCCACAGGATGAATAAGCATAAAAATAGGAGGAAATGATCGAGCAAACGTGCCAAACAGCCAGAGGACGCCTCTCATCCTAGAAATGCTGACTTTCCAGGATTGCTCTCCTTCCCTCACCTACTCCCCCCAGAGAGTGAGTCAAGGCCAAAAATCCTGGCCAAGGAACTGTTTCCCGGGAAGACAGACTTTTTTTCCTCTATACCTTTTTGAACTATTTCCATTTTTCCCCCATGTGCATATATTACCTTTAAAAAAAAAAGCAAATGTTTATGGAAACCGTTCTTGGAATATTCCTACTCCTAGCATTTTATGGTACAGAATAGAGAATCTGGAAACTCCAGATAGTTGGTGAACAGTTAAATCCTGCCCCAGCTGCTCCCTACTGCTCCCCTTGTCCACACCCAGTCCTGGCTGCAGCCCTGAAGAGGCTTGCTGGGACCCCCCATGCTCCATCCCTGTAGCTTTTCAGAGATCTGTGAACTTGATCTCCTCCCTAAGCTCACTTCAAAACATGCACCCAGTCATAAGGGATATGCGGTTTCCCTCAAAAGGCACAAAACGAAGACTACGAGCATACCTCATTTCACTGCGCTCCACTTTCTTCTGCTTCGTAGTTATTTTTTACAAATTGAGGTTTCTAGCAACCCTGCATTAAGAAGACTATTGGAACCATTTTTCCACAGCACATGCTCACTTCATGTCTCTCTGTCACATTTTTGGTAATTCTTGCAGTATTTCAAACTTTTTCATGACTATATTATCTGTTATGGTGATCTGTGACCGCTGACCTTTGATGTTACTATTGTAATTATCTCAGGGTCCCAAAAACTGTACCCATATAAGATGATGAACTTCATTGATAAATTTTGTTCATGTTCCAACTGCTCCACCAACTGGCTGTTGCCCTCTCTTGGCCTCCCTATTCCCTGAGACACAACAATCTTGCAATTAGGCCAATTAATAACCCTACAATGACCTCTAAGAGTTCAAGTGAAAGGAAGAGTCACACATC